AATCTTCTGAAGAAAATACAGACTAAACAGGACTATTTTGTGAATATGTGATGAAAGAGGAAACTGGTGGTGAAAAGGTTAAAGTGATGATAACACACGCTTTAAACACAAAGGCTCATGGGTAGATGCTTGTTTGTAAACAGCAAACACACTATAGTCATCTATCTAACGTGCCGGTGACAACTCACTCGATTTAAACTTCTTAGAAAATTGTGATATTTTGTATCAGTTGTGTTCTTTAGACAAATGGAGTCATATTGACTCATATTTACTTAAAGCGGGAGGGTCATCACCAGTGCGGGAATTGAGTCCCAAGCGAATGATAACAACACACGCTGAGAACGCCAGATGGGTAGCCGCTTGTTTGTCAACAATGACACGCTATGGCAACATACCTGACGCATGTGTAGGTGACGACTCCCTCGCTTTAATGAGACTGCCATTAAAGCCATGAATATTTAAATGTTTATACGGTAATACTACAAAAAATAATAAATAATACAAAGTGCTATATTGGATAAGTATTTTATGCAAAATAGTGAGCAAGCCACAGAAAATTATATAGCATAGAATCAAATCTGACACTATGAGGAGTTACGGTATGCCATCAGTGTGTGTAAGGTGTTGAATCCATAGTGATATGTCTGTTATGTTTTAAATGACTGATGTACTGATGAGAGTGTCCTGCTGAATACTGTGGCCCCAGAACATGAACATCTCGTCTGAAACTTACAGAGGACACACAGAGTCATTTGTAAATGAATGTTTAAAATTAATACATGCTTGAAGTGTTTTGTCTAAGTTTGTTTGCATTAATATACTTTTATGTTTACATCACAAACCTTGCAACACTGTGAATTTTGCATGATTTTTAGTGAATGAATTTAACGTCAAAATATTATGAAGATTCTGGGCCATGGAACACAATAGAGCAATGCTCTATCATCTGATAATGTATAGCAACCACATAACGCAATGACCGAATATGCGTATGTTATAATACAAAATCTAAAAATATACTATTAATGCAGTTAAATAGTCTCTCTTGTCAAAAGAGAACTACAAGAATTTTTGTTTAATATGCAAACAGCACTGCAGAAGAAGATTACTTTCTGGATGATTGATGCACTTCCTTTTTATAATAGAAATTAATGGATATTAAGAGAAAACTAATGAGATGCAAATGACATTCCCAAGATAACGAGTTGTTTTGTTTTAAAAATCTATAGTGAAGAAAATGTAGATAATACAACAGGTGGGATTTAAATCTACAAGGTTAATAAATCTAACTAATTACCATAGGAAGAAAGAATGAGACCAGGGACATTGAGTAAAAGTACTGATATGAAATTGAGATTCATGGCCTGTTTCTGCGTCCCAATTATACTATATAGAATTTCTAAGATGAGTTTCAACAAGAATGTGAAAGCAGGATTTATACAGGACACCACTGTATTGATTGCTTTAAATGTAATTTGGTGATTTTCTTCATCAGCTTAATGAGTAATTGGTGTTACCACCATTTGACAATGACCAAGACGGAAATGAAAGTGATTTACTAGGGAGACATAAAATGGATTGTGATAACGAGTACGCATGAATAATTAAAACATTAATATGGTAAAGGAAACTAATTTAGAAGAATCAACCTCATTTAGTCTATTTAAAAGTTGATTAAAAATGCCAGAAAATAACTGAATAAAATATTGCATAGTACAAGTGTGCCGTAATATGAAAAACGACATTCAACGAAGGTCAATGTGATCATCTCATTATTACGTTTCCAGGGTGATAAGTGATTATTCATTTAAAAAATGCATGATCCCCACTGTATATTGTAGATACTGGAAAAAGGTACTCAATGCGCCATTGAAAAGGAGCCATTCATTCCATGTCAATTGAAGGGAACTTAGTGAACATTGATATACAACATGTAGAAATGTTGTCAATGAATATGTTCTCTGTACGACCACTAGTAAACCTCTATTCCTTTAATAAAGAACTCGTACACATACTCCAAAATTGCATTGATATTAAAATGTCCTTCTTTCATCATACACAATACACAAAGTTTGGATTAGAACATTCTTTTCACTAAATTAAATGAAAATCACATCACTATAAATTGTTCAAACATTGAATGTACTATGAGAATCACATGTGAGTATAGGATTTCATAATTCATGTAACATATGCTACTTTGTGAATCATAATTTGTATGCTTAGATTTATAACTGTATATGTTCACCTGTTTTTATGCATACAAACATCTGCCCTCTTGTAATACAATGTCATAGCTTACACATACATGTGTATTTATATAGGAAATAGAAATCTGTTATTGAATTAGGTATAAACTATTCTATGTGTTCAGGAGAATTTTCATCTAGAAATATTTACGAGTGTTCTTCTATTTAATCCTCAATTTTTTTTTTAGTTTTGTTGTTATACCTTACTATCTGTGAATCAATACCATTAACATTTGAAGAGGATAATATTTTGCTCATATATAAATATTTTTTATGAGTAGTTTCGAACCAAATAAACCCTTTTATACCTATTTTTGAAGTACAAAGACTTTGTTTGGTTTTGATATGAGACACAAGACTGGGCAAGGTCATGCTTAGGAAGATGTCTGCCGTCTTTGAACTATCATGTCATTGTTCCAAATATGGAATTTACATTTCCTAATACGGTAGGAT